CAATGTTATTTTGACAGGAGCTGAATAGGAGAAGGGGCCCGGGGAGTCTTTAAGTGGCAGTTCTGGCCTGCTTGTATCAGCTATTACCTTATTCTCCCTCAGCTTCTTATAACCCAGAGCAAACTCACTCAGCCTATGGCAACCCAATTTTTCCCCTCTTCTGCTTGGGGTAGCTCTGGCCAAAACTCTTTCTTCCTTCTCTGTGCCCCTTCTCTAAGTGTTTATCCAGATCTGACTCCCACTAGTCAGGCTGTTCCAGGCTGCCTCTCTGCACCTCCTTGTGCAGCAGGAAGCCATGACACCACAAACACACCCTGGACACATTCTTTTCTTCCTCACAAATCCCTCCGCTCTCTGCCTGAGCATCCTAAAGGGATACTGTTGACTCTCTTGTTTAGCACTCCCCATATATTTCTAGCAACAAGAATCCCTTCTTAAAAAACAAGCAAAATAAAACTGGACCTGCCAATAAACAATGCAAGGAGTACCTAATAGGGCCGTTACAGTTTTGTTATAGGTCATGTAGGAGGTTATGTCACAAATCTCTAACACTATCTCACATACCTGCCACATTCCTGGTACGTACATTTGCAGGTCTGCTCTCAGATATATAGTAGCACAGTAGGCTTTTCAGGGTGGGGAGGAGATACTTGAGGTCTTTTTTTCGCATCTGCGTGTGATTTCACACTCTCTTTCTGACAATGTTAATATAAATAACCATAGAAGTATAACACTAATACCAAAACACATCATAGTACTGTGCTTGGCTTATTTGTTTCTAGGATCTACAAAATCAACTGGCATCTACTGTAACTACTGTTGATTTCTTCAAAATTAAGTTGAATTACATCAGCAGATGGAGTTGTGGATCTTGACCTTAATGTTCTTACTGCCTGTCTACTTTATCACTTTTATTTATGTTTCTCATTAAATAGGACTTCCTTCCCTAAGGCTATCATAAATAATACCTGTAAATTCATAGTTTAAGTTTGTCACCATGCTTTAGTTAAAAAAAATCACTGTATGAGACTTCGTTTCCTGTACAACAAGGACCTTTTATTCTCAGATTCAGTATTGGGATTTTTTTAATATTTCAAATAAGAGCAAAACAAAAACATCAAAATGCTAAGACATTATTAACCAGTCTACCCCACTCCACATAAAAATCAATGATTTTTTCAGTCATACTTTCAAGCCATGGATACCTTACTTGGTCTTTTAGAAAATAAAGCAACACATCTTTAAAACTCTTGATGCATTCCTGAAGATTTTTGCTTCTTTACCCTTTTAAAGCTGCATTTCAAAAATTGAAGTCAGGATAAAATGTGGTAAGATTTTTTTTATCATCTCTCAAGAAGGCCAAATATTTATGTTAGCTTCTTGAAAAATCAATTTAAAACCCACCTGCATGATATTACTGGTACTCAGATCTTAATCAGCTTTCCAACGCACAAAAAAATAATTTAGCACTTCACAATACTATAATAGCAACCAGAATTTCACAGACAAAACCAATAACATTTTCATTTTTTGGCAGGAAATTGAGGACCAAGATTAATTCCAAATCTTTACAGTCATACAGCCCTTTTTCAAACCTTTCAATCTCAAATGAGGCACATACATTTCAAATAGTTTTTCTTCTTCCAAGAATTCTGCTTTGCTTCATTCAATTTCATGACACTTTCCTTGGGGAAATCACAGAACCAGGAAAACAAAACAAAACAAAAAACAAACAACAACAAACCACCGCACCATATGAGAAGATACTGGGCCTGAAGCTTGTTAATGTCTCCAGTAAGCTTTGAATAAGACCTACAGATATATTTCCATTAGAAGTGAAACATGAGAAGTCAGCAGGGGCAAAATTAGACCTGCACCAAGAACTAAGCACCCCCTGAGGCAAGATTCAGTGGCACGCCTGCAGAGAAAGGATTGTGAGAGGGAATAAATGCTAAGGTAGCTTCAAGAATAACCTCATGCTGACATTTTGGAGCAGGTCCAAAATATAATTTTCAGCATGCAATATCATCCCAGGTATTAAGTAGACCATCCACTCACTGCAGCTGTGCTGCAGACCCTGCTGCTCTCAGCCTCTGCACTGCTCTCAAGGGAACTCTGACAGTCTTCCTCCTCATCACTGCTGCAGGAATTATCTTACTGGGAGCCATTAAAGTACCATTATGCCTTTTTAGCTCCTAATTCTCATTTAAAAATAAAAAAAACCTCACTCTCAGAAGCTTAGATTTTGTTTGAGGGGGGAGTTAATTTTTAATCAAATTTTCTCTGCTGTGTTTCAGTATGTTCTAGATTTGTTACTTGGAGTCAACGTCCCTAGTGAACACACTTGATGAGTCAAGTGAATGCTTAGATATCAGTCTCCATTCCCGCCTTATGCATCTACTCCTATAATCTCTTTAATCTTAAATAACAATGTTTTTCCTCACGTTAAAAAAATATATTATTTGCATTGCATTAGTACCCAAAAAGTGTAATACTGTGTGATTGATAACATTACCGGACTTTTTCAGCTCTCAGTACAACAGAGTTGCCAATTGATTCATAATTTTTTTATCAAATGGCTGGTAATCTGCCCTATATTTACATATTTATCAGCCTTCTAACAGATCACTGCACAGAATTCTGGGTTTTGTCATGTTGTCTGTTTCATTCCATTTGAATCTAGCTTTGATTCTGCGATATCTTAGAAGGCATCTTAGAAGAATAAGAAAGCTAACTTCTGCTTATGGCCCAGCTAGCAGCTATGAACCATCGATAAGATGAGGAGGACTTAAACAGTCTTACGGCACAGACTGCATTTTCCTCACTTTCAGTAAAATGCTTTGAAAGGCTGGAATAAAGCACTGTGCATCCTGGCCCAGGATATAACCACCTCTAACTATTCAGTGCAACCATCATTTTTCCTAACAAAGGGATTTAATCTACCAAAACAATTCTTTTTCTTAGCTGCCTGCAGGGAGAAGAAAAATGTTGGACTTTCTTCCAGTGGGCTGTCAAGATGTGTTATTTTGCTGATCAAGGATCTTCAAGTACCCGACACTAATCAGCCCAAGACAGGCTAATTATAATCCCCGAGGCCGCCTCCAGTCTAGGAAAATATTGCTATAAAAAAAAAAATTATGAGCCCTGCCAAACTGGCATTTTTCCTAGCTCCAAATTGTATCAAATTTCACTTTAAGATCATATAATTTTCAGGTCAGATGTAGCTGAGGGAAATATCATTTCACAGGCTGAAGGTTTGCTGAGGTTCTCTATAACGCCTTCCCTATGGTTCTCCCATACCAGTGAAAGCACCTGACAAGTAAAAGGATGTTTCTCAGAACCTTATTTTATCTTCATATATTTGCTTAAGTAATGGCTGTCCATTGTCTGAATTTATTAAGGATTAGTTAAAACCATGAGGTACTACTCAGATTAAAAGAATCCATCAACAATTAAAAGCCAGTAGGAACACCGAGAAACACAAAATTCAATTTCTAAGCCATTCAATAAAGTTCAAGAAAATATGCTTTTGGAATTCAAATATGTCTAACGCTAATTTTAGGTGCTGAGTTTAGCAGACTAGCTTGTTTTATTTACATATTAAATACATGCCCAGATTTAATTTTAACAATTCAAAGGATGAATATAGGAATCAAAGCTACATGCCAGTATATAAGTCTAAGGAAGACTAAACTGAAGTGGATTCTAAATTATATTGGAAGTCAGAAAACAATAAAGGGTAATTTGGGGCTACTTTTACTTTTCATAACCCATAAAGTGCCCTTTTTGCCATGCTCCTCTTCCCTGAGCTATTGGCACATTAATTGGAAATATACATCCTTAGCTCACTTTGACACAGCTATTCTGGTTCCTGAAAATAAAAATTTATTAGACTGGACAGAGCAATATCTCCACAACCCAGGGGACTGCCTAATTCAGAACAGATGTTAGTCCTGTGTATCTTACATCTCATTTTAATGCATATCCATCAGTCATTATCTGTTTGGGGTTGTTTGCTCTCTGAACAAAATCCAGGCAAAAAAGTTTCATGAAGATCAACAATCGGTGGTTTTATGAGTCAGCAAAAACTGAGAAGACAGCATCTTGTAGAATAATTCTTATCAATCTTTAATTTTGAAAAGGAGCCCTTGAAGATCATGCAAAAGCACAGCAGGTCCCCCTTCTTTCATAAAAATTAGTAACATCTCTTTAAGCAGAATGGCATGCACATAATGCCTCAAGCTTTACAGACCAGGTGTTGCTGCCTCTCTGTCTACATGGAAATCACTTACACTCAGACAGTAGAGATATTTGACTGGTCTTTTCAAACCTAATTGTAGAATACAGCTGATATTTTCAATTAGCGGGCTCAAAAGTTCAGCATACACTACTTATAGATGTAATTTTGTGCTGCCGAAACCACTGAGCTTGTCATACATTTGGTAAGTGTTCTACTGTGCAATCCTTTATCTGAGGACAGAAATCCCCAAAGCTTGTTTCATTCCTTTAGATCTTAACATTGTATTTTCCAGCACTCACGTGTCTTTTATTTATCAGTGTTCCCATGCACCATTCTCTCCGGCATCTGCTACTGTCTTGCCTGTATATATATGTGCGTGGGTAAAGTTAAATTGGTGTCACCTAGCACAGACACAGAGCACTTTACAAAGGGAATCAATATCATTATGTCCATTCCACAGGTGATGAGCAAGGGGCGCAGGTACAGAGACAATGTGCAAGGGGTATATTTACTATCAGAGCCAGAAAGAGTTTCCAGGTCTCCTTGATTCAAGTATCACAGGCTGCTGCTCAAGGCTACCTTTCTCGTAGCTTATAACTTTTCTGACCAGCTCTTACTCTATCATCTTAGACTAAAATTTAAACCCAGGAAGTCCTCATACTAGTTTCAGTACATTTTCATGACAAGCACAGGAGGGAGAACACCTTAGATCTTTACTCAAATAAATATTAATTTAGTACTAGTGTTCTACATAACTCACCATTCAGGATCTCAAGATGCTGACAAACATTTGTCTGTGTTGCCTAATGAGAAGAGGGAACAACAGAGATCTGAGGGGGATTTATCTCTCTTGACTAAAGTGACTTTATAAGTTATAATAAAGAAAAGGGATCACATAGGTGGGACCTGCAAATGATACTGAACTTCTAGTCTAATTCAAAATGGCATAACAAAGTTGAACAAAAAGAATAATTAAGACTTTTTAGAGTAATTCACAGAAATACAAAATCAAGTTTCTCCATTTATTTAAAGGTTTATTTTTAAAATCTAGTGCATTGCAAGCAGGTGCCAAGCAGTTGGAGGGTTAACATGTTTTTTTTCCTGAAAGAGTAATCACCATTATTGCTGATACACTCTCTGTTCCTATAACACGTCCAGAGTATATTTGGACTTCACCTTCTTCAGATACAAGAAAACCCAAAATCCCCTAATTATTTTCAAAGGTTATCTGTGCCTAATGACATCAAAAAACTAAACAGGGGTGCTACTGTTAGTGACCTAGTAAAATACTAGGATGAAATTTTGAGAAGAAACAATATTAGAAGGCAAATTAAGGATCTATAGAATATACCCTGCGTATTTTAATAGCTGACCCTTAAAATGGCAACTTACAATCTGCTGTGTCATTGCCTTAGCAACAGATATGACGTGCTGAAATCTGACAGCAGCCTTTTCTAGCCGAAGCTATGGGTTTCGAGTGGAGGTTTTTTTAGCAATCAAAATCTGATTTATTATTCTAAGAAAATATGGTATGTTTTAGGAGACTAGCAGTGCAGCTTGAAGTACAAGATGGATACATACTAGCTAGTACAGAAGTGCCTTGGCCAGGGAATTAGCCTCTTCAGCAGGAAAAGCTGTTTCTAAACATGATCTAACACACTTGAAAATTGTAAGTAGCCTGGAGTAGCTACATGCAACAGCTTTGAAAGGTGTCCTTATTTGAAAACATTCTCAATAGACCATAGTTATTCCATCAATAGCTCTCAGTTCTAAAGTGCAGTTTTCCATGACAAAAACTTAATGTTGAGAAAAAGTCTTTCATTAGTTATGTCATTGCTAACTACTGTTTTGAGTTTCTTTAAGACTTGTCTCCAATATCAGCTTAAAAACAATCTCACACAGCCCTCAGACTTGACAATATCAGGCTCTTTTTGATTTGTATTCATTGTACAAGTTCTATAAGTCTCTCTCAAATAAATACCTGTCGAAATCTTATTTTTTTTAATTTTTTTTTATTTTATTGTAAGGGAAAAAAGTCAATACAGGTCAACTGTTCAACAATATTTCTCAGTGGGCTCAGCTGCAAGCAGCTAAGGTTGTACTTCACAGTGTAAAGCAGACATCTGTCCTTGCTTTCTAATTTCCTACCTAATGAGCGTAATATTTCAGTATTCAGGTATATTGTTCTCTTAATTTTTTTTATCTATTTTGCAAATGTGTTTTGCTAGATTGACTGTCTTGGCAGAGAGTATTCTGTCATAGCAATCTTTCAAACAAAGTAGAAGCACTTATCCAGTCAATAAAGGAAATGCTGCTTTAAAACAAATGTGGTTTTTTTGTTGTGTGGGGAGCGTTTTTTAAACTAAGAAGTGCACAGAACATTTTCCTTTCTAGTGCCAACAAAGCATATAAAGGTGTAGCTTCTTATTTCATTTAATCAATACAGTCAAGGTTTATCTAAAACACTTTTACAAGCAGATACTCCTCTTTTGAAAAACGAGAATGTTCCCCCATTTCTCGTGTTAATTTGCAGCCTAACAAACAGCAGATAACAACCATTTTTTGCCTTAAATCTCTTGAAAGTTCATAGACTTCTGCTAAGGGCTCAGCTTTATCCAATACAACCACCAACAACAAAAAACAACCAACCCAAGAAAACAAACCCAGAAGCACAAAGAGGAAAATACAAAGACAGGCAGATAAAATATTATGTTTATTTTTTTTTTAAGTTCTATGCAAGCAATAGGAAAAATAGCTTTTTCTCCCAGGTCTGCCAGGGATTTTCCAAGAAACTTTAGTATGTTACTGATCTCTTATGAGGGAATATTTAGCAGAAGTGAGGAAAACAGTTTCTCACCTCATTATAAGCTGAAAATTACTGCAATCTAGTCAGGAAAGACTCAGGTATTCATACAACCCCTCGCACTGTAAGGGTTTGATCCAAGCTTCAGAAGAGATATCTGAACTGTTTTGTTATTTTAAAACTTAGTAATAACCCTGAAGTCCCACAAGTTTTCTGTGTCTAACTTTTCATAACCTCATTTTAGAAACTGTCCAGAAGAAATCCAACATTTTTCCAAGGGAATTAATTAAGAAAAGAATGACAACTTCATAGAAGAGAGCAATTACAGGTATAACATTCAGGAACAGCAAGCTGGAAGGAGCAAGTAAGATACAGAGGAAGTCAACACAAAATAGGATTCAGAGGAGCTGAAAACAACAAATGCAAGTCTAACACAGCCTGCAAGGAGGCATTATGGAGGTTAGGAGGTGGGATGCATTTTAAGACTGAAGTAGAGTCTTGCTATGAGCTTTTAGACCAGAGAGAAAATGCTGTAAAAATTACACAGGGAAAAAAAAAAAAAGAAAACAAAACAAATACACTTTTGTATTCAGATACATGCCTCTTTCATTTTATCCACACACGAAGCTGGTAAAAAATTTATATTAATCTTTGACAGCTCATGAAGCAACTTCATGTCTGCATCCTAATCCTGAAACTATGACATTGATCTTACAAGACAATCAGTACAGGACAACTCTTGAAAAATAAAAAACATATACAAAAGTAATAGATATACAGTTGAACTAAAAGCAGAATTATTGTAGTTGGGTGCTTCCTCAGTTAAACACTAGGAGTTCTTTTAGTACAACCTAATGCTAACAAAAGCTGTCTAAGTGTGTCAGCTCCCACAAGACACTGTAGCATGGAGGCTGAGAAAACTATTTTATAGATCTATTTCCTCATTGCAATCGCTGACATTGAAAGATCTCTTTGCCAAAGAGAGAACACACATTTCAGCTAAATGCTTGGCACACTTGGGGTCTCTGAGAAAGTAACTGGATGTGGGGCACCAGTAGTACTGGGGGTCAGTTATTTTTGTGCCTGCTCTCAGGATCACAGGAGCCTGACTGCTGCACTGAGGGTCAGATGGTTCCCCTTGCACAGACCCTTTCTGCTGCCTCACCCTGCAAAACAGTTTGTCCTCCACAGAGCTGACTGCTTGCCCTGGGTGCTCTTAACAGTTCCAGAAAACACTGGGCTAACAAAGATAAGGAAGTATCACTACAATTCACAGTGTTCATCTTTCACCCTTAACTTTGAGTCTGATACTCTCCTCAGGACACAAAGATTATCCCCCAGGATGGAGGACACTCCACTTATGTTTACAACCCATCTCCACTTCCTTAGAAGACATTCTTTCCACAGCTGAAAGTCCCTCCTTGCCTGGCACCAGGATTGAATACTGGACAAGAAGCAGGAGGCGACAGCATTTTGGCCAAGTCTGCCAGGGCAAGGCTGTATCTGACACATGCCATGAGAATTGAGAGTTCCCACAGAGCGGAGAGCATTCCTGGCTTGAAATATCTTGTCTGAAAGTGCCAGACACTGGAAAGTACACAGAGCTGAATTTTTTGACCTTGGAGGGATGAAAAGCTGAGTCAGCCTTGCTGGGATTCAAAGTACTCAGGAGTCCAATATTTGAAACCTGCCTTTCATCCACCAAACAGGAAGAGAAGAGCTATCTGGATTGGTTTTTTCTTTATTGCCTGACCCTTCTCCTCATGAACCAGAACTTTTCTGGAGGATTTTTAAAAATAAGAAACCATTTGCTTCAGGAAAGCACATTTTGATACTATGAAGAGCAATTTTTGTGATGAGCCTTCTAACATATATACACATATATATGACCATATCAAACTAGTTAAGGCACTTACATTGCACATTTTTAGTGTTTTTTTGGTGGATGTGAAGATAGGAGCTTTTGTTTTTAAATCAACAGAAAAGATTAGATACAAAACCGAATATGAGAAAGAAAACACTCCATAGCCCTTTGTACAAGAGAACTGATCAAACAGCATACATGTCTGCTCATCAAGCAAGGGCCAGGTAGCCTTGAAACACTGACAAAATAGAAAATGTCTGTAGCAACAGCTTGTTAGGGTCAGGAATGTAGATGAGGTCTGCCTTGCCCTATGCCAAAGCCTGCAGAAGCTGAGAAGCCCAGGATGGCAGCTGCCTTTTCAGGAAAGTTCTGGACCATGACAGTAACGTCAGATATGATTGCCCATCCATTTCCATATCCATCCACTGTATGTCCTGCTCCCTCACCAGTCTAGACTCCTCCTAGCTCTCCATTCAGCTCAGCTTTTCCATTTGCTCCTTCTTTTCCTGTGGCAGGAAAGACTTGGCTCAGTCTAGGTGACATGATAGGGATAACATAAAATTTTTCTTTTTCTCTGTGCCTAGAATCTGCTTTATTGAATGTCTATTTTCATCAAAAAGGCAAAGCAAAAGCCACCTTTTCCCTCCTCCAGTCCACAGAAGTGTTAGTATTCAGACATAAATTAGTTCCAAGGCGATTCCTTGAAATCATGTTTATATTCATGTATCATTAAATTTATCCCAGTAATATCAGTATAATGTCTCATTACAAAATTTACAGAAATGTCTGAGCACTTCTGATAAAGAGGACTCCTTTGATCTGACTTTCAAGGAATGAGTTCCTGAACACAGATTCATTCCAGATCTGCCATAGGTAGGAAGGACAGGACACCCATCCAACACTGTTCTACTGCAACATGATCCACAAAAGATAAAGTTTGGAGCAAAGGGTTCCCTCAACTCCTCTTTAGAGAAGAAAGAAAACTTCCTTCCATTGAGGACACACTCTGGTCCCCTCTAGGTAGGCTTTAAATTCATATGGTGCCAAAAAATCCACAACTTATTAAAATTGCACAAACTTCCATTGCTGGAGTCAGGTTTCGTCATCAGCTCCTAAACTGCTTTGGGAAGAACCAAGCTTCTGTTTCTATCTGCATTCAGTGCTAAGCTATGTAAAAACTACTTAATTGATAATATAATAAAACCCTTTAGAGTACAGATTGAACAGTAACTTCCTTTCAGTTCACTAGTACACACTCGTCTCTAACTACACATCAGTATGATTCTGCATATACAGAAGAACTCTAACCTTCAGATTAAGTGTCCAAATTCAGCTACTTCGGGGAAGAATACATGTATTTACAAAATGGATTACCTTCAGTAATGGTGAATAAGACCAGCTGTGGAACAAAGCTGAAAGCAACCCAGTTTTCACACTGTCTAATGCTGCCTCACTTGTCCCAGTTGTGAGTCTGCCTCAACAACAAGCAAAATTATATTATATGTCTAGTGTTTCTACATTTGGTCATGCTCTGACTCAGGCAATTAGGACTGCTTTTCGTAGTAAGATCCTCTTCATCACTCCATACTTTTCCATATCCTCATATAACAGATCTCAGTGCAACATTTGGGCCTGTACAAAAATGAATAGGAAGCATTCTACAATGAAGGCATTCAGCTGGAGTCAGAATTAGCCAAGATTACCAAGAAACAAGTCATGTCATCACAACTCCGTTTCTAGCAGGTGTTTCCCAGGGCAAACAATGCTGTGAGAAGTGTGTGGAATAGACAGTAACAGGAACTTTTAAAACAGTGTCTAAAAAACAACATGATTTGCATTCTTGTTACTGGGGAAAAAATAAAAATCTGCAATGGGAGCTTCATACCAAGTCATTTCTCCATTAATACTATCAAACGTTGTTTTTTTTCCCCTAGTATGTTTCCCTAAGTTTTAACTTTATTCTGAGAAATTCCAGTTGTAATCAAGTCACTTCCAAAGTCCAACAAAGTACATTATTATTATTAATATGTCAACCAAACATGTCTCATATCTATGTCTTATTAACTGTACTTTGATGGTCCCTAAAGTTGCAAGTTAAAGGCATTGCTCATCAGCTCTCTTCACATCTCTGATTCTGATGCCAGGCAGACATCAGCTGTCCTGCCCTCCCCCCATCCTCCTGCTAACTCATACCTTCAGAGTTTGCTTGATGAGAGCATAGGAAGCGCAGGAGGCCAATATTTTCATACTGTAAAACGCATCACAAATAAATAAAACAACGTCATTCCAATGTTAATTTACAGTCATTTGCTTTGTGTTTTGCAGTAGGAAAACCCAACAGATGTATCCAGACCATGTTGAAAAAAAACACATACAGTACGGACTGTCTAATTAAGATATGAGCCCTATTCCAGCTTGTGCCAGGCAAGACCATCACATCCACCCTTATGAGGAGCAGTCGGATCTCATTACATTTATTATTCCATCCTTTATCAAATATAAGGGACTAAACATGACAATAAATATAGACATCACTACAAAATTAGTGGTTGTTTTTTTTTTTGCTGCACTTTTGAAATATAAAGCACACAGGGAGAACAGAGCCAGAGACCACTCCCTAATTCCTAGTGGACATATTGATCAATTAAAGTGACATATGTCTGGTCTTTTCTTCCCTTCTAATAGCTAGCAGCTGAAAGACTAAATCTTTTAAACATGCAAAATCAAACAATTAATGTTGTTGTATACCATCTAGCAAGATTAACTTGAAGTTAAACAAAATTAACCTGGCCTCCAGAAGCAAGACCTTATTACAAAATAAACAACTATTGAACATTGTAAAGAATTTCTAAATATTGTAGCCATTATTTTAACCAGCTTTCTAAATATAAAAGATAGGTGTTTTTTCCCAAGATAAAGGTGGAAGCCTTTTTAATTATTCCTATTATTTTATTCATAGCAAATCCTCTCAGAATGCCTGAATCTTTGGCTACACCTTTTACTGCAGTTGCAGCAGAAAAAAAAATGCTTGTTTTCTTCCAGTGAAAGATAGACCTAAAATTCACTAAATTCATATTACTATTTAAAAAACAGATTCAAAGAAAGTAAAATAGTAGAAGAGCTAAAAGCTACTGTACTTTCAAAATATCTGGTAATTGTTTGATAATTATATCAATGTTTTGCTTTTTTAAGAATACAAGTAGAAATAGGACAGTACTGAACCATGTTTAAAATCAATACTGTTCCAGTTGCTTGTCCAGTACCAGTTCGCAGAGTATTTTCTGTACTATCATGCTATGGAAGGCCAGTGAAAGTAAATAGGTGATATTCATGCTATTAAAATAAAATAGGTTAAATGAGGAGGTAAACATAATGGGAATGCTCAAATGAAGAGACAGGGAAAGGAACAAGCTATGTTTATGGCATTAGAATTGAAAACAGCTATTCTTTCCATTTAAGCAAATCAGACAGTAGCAACTTTAATTGGACTGTATATTTAAATATATTCTCTTCAAATGTTCAGGCTATTATCACAAATGCAAAGACAAGTCTAAACATTCAGATTGAATGTGTTTTCTGTAGGCCTTTGTCTTTCCCAGTCTGCCTGAAAAATAATATTCAGGCATGCAGCATCTTTCTCCAAAATGATTTTCACAAGGCAAACCCCACACACTTACATTAGGAAAACCTTATAAAACAGGAAAAAATAACAGTACAATTAATAACAGCACAATATTTTGCACTTACCATGTCCTGTTCAAATCATCCTCTTTTGGTGTTTACGGCACATCTGTAAGATGCAATACTAGGAGGTGCCTTGTGTGACCTGCTGCATGATGCTGTGACATCAGTTCAGATGATGCAGCTCATTATGGGAAAGACTGTTGTTGCTATGGCAACTGAGATGTGATACGAATCCTTACTGCATTTCCAGGGGAGTCTGAGACAATACGGAAGCCCTTTAAAGAAACAGACAAAATGCAAACAGGCTTTTAAAGTACAGTGCCACAGATTTTAGAGCCCATGTTAGCATATGCCTTTTATTACAGAATATTTTAGACAAATTATTCCTACGTGGTGATACAGAATTGAGATGTGTGGGCTATAAATTATTTCTATATTTAAAACTTAATATTGTGTGTTTCAATTTAAGAACAATTTTTATAAGTCAGATTTGGTTATCATGTCAGAGAACCTTTTAAAATAAACAGTCAGTAGCATGACTTTTAATACTAGGGCTGTAAAGATGGTAGTTATTGAACAGTATTTTAAGAAATATATATTTTCATGCTGCCCCACCCTGCTCCTACATCCAATCTGTCATTTACAAGAAAAATCTTATTGCTAGGGAAAAACACTTGATACTTCAAAATGAGCAGATTTCACACTGTTGAATGAATGACAATGAGTTAAAAAAAAAAAAAAAAGGCAGAGGGTGGCTTTTTATTCGTGAGAGGGTAAAGAAGTTTCCAGCCAACCAAGTAAAAATCTCCTTATCATTTTTCAACTGTAGGGCAAACTGCACTACCATCTGCATGCTGAGTAGCCTGGCTTTCATCTGCCCATCAGACAGACAGATGAGTGAAGATTCCAAAAGCTGCAGACAAGCCAGACAAGCTTCTGCTAGTGCCCAGTGGGCCACACTGCTCCTCACCTCCAGGTAGAGCAGGAAGGCCAGCAAAGTAGAGAGCCCCTCCCCATAACCTAAGTGAAGGACTGGGGTTGGAGGCTGACCCTGTAGATGTTACCTTCTGCAACAGGAACCTGCTCACATCCTCTTTTCACAGTAGTGATGAGAGAAGCAAAGACTATGTGAATGAGCTGCCTGGAAATTAAAATTCACAGCTAAAGAACCACCAGCACATTTTTGGCCACTTGCCAGTTTGATTTGGTGAGAAAAGTTTCTGGCAAAAACTGCTTTCCCTAGCCATGAAAATCCCTTTCTACATGGTAGGGAAAAAAGTACACAAAAGGCTGGACCCTCTGCCCTTGATAATGTAAAGCCCAGTGTAAAACAAAAGCCCAGCTTAAACCAAGAAGCCTCAATGTCCTGAAGATGTCCAGTCATGTCCAATGAGGGTGCCAATGTCTGAAGCCCTTCATTCTTTTAAACTTCATCCTGTGAGTAAAAATTTTGATATTTGATTTCAGAAAAAACTATACAAAATATTTACACACTCTTACCCACCACTCACCTTTGAAAAAATAAAGAGGAGCCTTTGATATCTTTTGATTAATGGATTAAATACAAAGCCTCTCCATAAATCTAGGAAATGCCATAACCTTTCTAATTAGTGCTGTCTTGACATAGTATGGTCTCATTCTTGACAGTTTCTCCCTTCTCCTATTAATCCTATGTCATTCTGAAAAACAAAATAAAGCTTTCAAACTAATTTAGTATCAAAACCAATCTAGTAATCTATAATGAAGTGCTATGCACAAAAGAGCTGTAGTCCTAGAATTTTGAACATTTAAAAATTTCTTAGGTTTCCGAGGATGTAATTCCCAATATAGCAGGGGACAATATTATTGAAACATGATTTGGGTTGGAATGACATGAAAACTAAGGTATGTCATTGCAAGTTAGCAAAGTTTATAGTGTGCTGGATGCCATTCTGTTCAAATGGCATGAGTTTTTCAAGTTACCTTAAAGGAACTATTTTTGATTTGTTAACTAGTATTTGTAAGATTGCACGCCAGACAGCTACACCAGGAACATCCCAGGCAGAGTGTAAACTAAGGATTTGTTGTACAGGTCTTATGATGTAAAGTCTATGGTGACTTTACATGGAGGACTGCAACCACTACTTGCTAAAAATGTATGAATACAAAAGGTAGCACTCACAAACTTTGTAACCTCCTAATTAAAGCTGCAGGTCTAGAGGAAGAGAGCTGGATGTAGTTGCTATGGGTTTTTTGGGGTTTGTTTAAGAAAAAAAATTAAAATTAGGCTTCTGTTTCAAGACAGCTGCAGTTATTACCCCAACTCAGGACTGACATATCTTCTAAATTTAAGCTTTAAAATTGCTTTCTATTCGCATTCCTTCCAGTTCAGTGGAACAGGAGATGGAGAGAGAGAGCTAAAACTATTCTATCGCCACATGAATATCTTGATCATTCTGAAGTATAACCAGCATGTTTCCAAGCCAAAAACACAGGGCTTTGATTATAACTTTTTCCTATCAAAATAGAAATATTTTATCTTCTTTCAATCATGACAATGCAGGTCAATGATGGGCATAAATTACTAGCTTTAAATTCTTATTTTAGTCACATTCTGCCTCTCCAACACAAGCTGTTGCATTTCTCCCTTTCCCCACATTGGCACCCCCATGGTTGTTTTGAAAGGAACAAATTTGATTGATATTCATTTGAAAAGGAAGAAGTGTTTCACCTACCTAATGCCAATGCTTTCGCTTTTGATCAGTTTATGTGAATAACCAACATTTGCATAATCCACAGAGGTTTTCAATAAGCAAGTGTTTGCCATCTTTGCCATATAAGCATATAAGTAGGCACTGCCTTAACTTTAAAAATCTTTATTTCCCTTCAGTGAGTAATAATCCAGAGATTAACCTTGACATGATTTACTTTCCATTTAACTATGTTCAAGCACATGAGCTAGGAGTAAACTCACAAACACTACTAAACAAAATAAAATGCTATTGCAGACCTTTTCTTTGCATAATTGAGTCATTTTCTTCTGTGTTGTTTCCTCCTCCAAACAAAGGAAAGCAATTGCTACCTGGTTGCCACCCTACTCACATAGCCAAGAGAAAAGGGGAAAATACACTGAAGGACCAAAGGAAATGAGAACTGCATATTCTAAATTACTTGTCAAATAAGCCAGAAGCAGGCTTTAAATTAAAAATAAAATGCATAAACAGCACAATCATAATTTACTGAATGCTGATGCACAACAGATCAGCAATGTGTAATGACACAACAAAGGAAACCTTGATTCTCATTCAAGATTTTGTAATACACTTCAAGAACACATCTCCCAGATTTTGCATGGAGTGCCTTAACCAAACAGCTATATTTATCAAGGTCTCTATTCTGATGTTGACTCTGTCAGAAGGAAAGGCTAGGTCATACAAATTGATAACCCAATCCCTCTTCTCTAAATGGAAAGGGATATTAATCAAAATGTTATTGAATCTATTGTATTGAATCTGTCAATTGAACATTGCATTGCAAAGGAGAGTTATACACAGTCTGCCTTGACTGAACTCATTAAACATCTGTGTTTACCTACACTGTTACATAGGGAGTATTTTCCATTCTGTCATCAAGGTCATTCGAGCCTCTGTTCCTACAGTAAGGGAGAGCAGGCGTGGGAACTGCTGTTATGGTGCAAAATTGCACCCTTGTATGAAGTAGAAACAGCACAAGTGATCCCACAACTACACAACTCAAAGACACTAGTCAAAACCGTACATCAGTTTCTTTTAAGTTTGGAGCCTCTCATTTGTACTAAATCGTTATGTTGAGAAGACTTTGCCTACATGATGGACTAATTCGCACTTGTTACTATAGCCTGAAGGGGATCTGCATCACTGATTTCCTATCTGCATATGGGTCACTGGTTTCCTATTTGCATCTGGTCCCAAGAGAGACCATGAGATTACAAGACTTCAACCACCCAAGAAGGATATTATTAACACAATAAGAAAATGTCCTAGGTCTTCAGCTTATTAAAATAATATTTATATAAAAAATAATAAAAAAAAATTAAAATAAGCTTGAGATTTTTCTCCTTATGTTACTAAATACAACCTATCTGCAATATAAAGACCAGTCAAGTTTAATAGTAAAACTTAAGCTTTTCCAAATCAAGTTGTAAATCTTGCTTCCGAAACTTTTTGCTTACTCCATCATTTACTATAATAGACAGCTCCAGAGGTCACAGTCTTGGTTTTGCCTCTGTTATAGCCATCTCTCTTGACTAATGTACCTCATCATGTGCACTTTTCCATATTTTCTGAACTTATTTCTCATGTTTCCTCTCCACTTATACCAATCTTAATCAAAGTTGGGATCTGATCACTTCGTATCTTGAAAACTGCAAAATCGTTGTCTCCAAACACCAAAGATCAGTTTTACTCCTTTCCATTCAGGATATTACCAATAAGTTTGTCTTTCTGGCTCATCTTATGTTAAGCTTTAAATCCTTAAGTATTAAACATAATTAATTTTGTTTTTACACATTGGAAAACTCCGCATAGTTTCATCTTCCTGCTCCTACAAAATTGACTACATTTCGCTCTGCCAGTAACTTTCAAGCCTGTTCCTCCTACAAGCACTTCATTTTCCACTCCCTCCTGCCAACAAGAAAAACGCTCACTAAAAAAAAATAATCTTCATCTTTATTAAAATTCTACTAATATTGCTTTGCACAGTTATAATCTAATTTGTAAACAAGTAGGAAAACAACAAGCTGACTGCCATCACTGATTGACTGCCATACTATACTTGGCCAATATGTTCTAAACATCCTATTTGCTTTCCCCACCTCAGCTTTCTCCAGTCAACCTGTGATACTCCTCCCCACTTGTTTCACGTGTTCACTATGTATTACCTTTTAGGAACAGGCTAGTGGCATAAACTTAGTACACACAAGAGACTGAAAAACCCATGGGAGAAGATGAATAATAATTCCAGCTCCAAGAGGCTGCATTTACAGCTATTTGCACTGGAACTGGCTGGTTTAAAGTTAGCTGAGCATTTTACTATTAGGTTTAAATTTAGTTTAGCTTAAAGCTAAGTCACCTCCTATGCATGTAGGCTAAAACACAGCATGATTTCCTATACTAGTTAAAGCAGGGATCTATTTTTACAATCT